TCTCTCTATATATATATATATATATATATATATATATATATAGATCATCAATTTATATATATGTATGTGTGTGTGTGTGTGTGTGTGTGTGTGTGTGTATATATATATAGATCATCAATTTTTATTTGAATCATTTTTTAATTTACATATAAATATGTAAAGAGTTAAATATTTAAATGAGAATTAATTTATTTTCAGAAAAACTTAATCGGATTCTTTTTTTTTATTAATCTATAAAAAATATCAATCATGACATTTTTTAAAAATTTTTTAAGATTGTATTTTTAATGTAACATTTATTTTCTAGGTACATTTACATAGAGCGCTTCAATTGCTGGATGAAGTATTACATACAATGCCCATTGACGGTCCACGAGCTCTCGAGTAATTCCATCGATTTGAATCATGAGATATGCGAAAAGAGCATCACGAGGTTGCTGCTGGAATCGAGTGTGCAAGTGTAACATACGTTGTTTGAACATCATACGAGTAATTTTGGCTTGGAAAGTGCGAGTGGAGAAACCGGATGGACCAAATTTATCAGACGGAAATGATCAAGCGATTGAAACGCGAAATTCGGCCATACAGAGCTCGGGGAGAAGAGCTTGCGGAAGCTATTTATATATTTAACGACTCGTGATATAATAATCTGTGTAGAACAGGGGTTCCCAAACTCTCTCCATTTTGCATAATTCCTAGATAAAATATCCGTGTATATTTTAAAATTGTATACATTATACATATGCATATTTTTTTATCATAGAATGTACATAATGTAGCGTTATTGCTCATTTCTATTTTTTATTTGTTATAATTTTTATTAAACAATCGAAGAGAAAAAGGGAAAGACCACTGCGAGTTATTAAATATAATGTATAAATAATTTTGTTGTGACATTTGAAGTTACATGTCTGATTCGTAAATTATTATTAAATATTATTAAATTAGGAATCAATGGTTTAATACATTTTGTCACTATTGTGTTGTCCGTGATAAGTATATATATTTGAGTGGATTAAAGTTTTTATTACAGAGAGAGAGAGAGAGAGAGAGAGAGAGAGAGAGAGTACTTATAGTAGTTAGTTACGTTTTACTTTTACTAATTAAGTTAAAAGTTAAAAAAGTTTAAAGTTTTAGTTTTTA